TGTGTACTGTCATGGTCCAAATGTTTCAAACATCCAAATCAAGATACTTGCATAGTAAAATCAACCCTTGTTACCAAAACAAATTAAAAATCAACAGTGCTTCAATATTAGAAATATTGTTTAAAATATGCTATTGTACCTATAATTTTATTAGTTCAAACGATTTTTTTATAATTATGTTATTAGTGTGAAGTAGGACTATAAAAACAAACTATCAAATCGATCTGTCAAACCGAACTAATCTAAATTTAAAATAAATGAATCGCTATATATTGTTATAGTGAACCAATTATGTTGTACAAACATTTTTTAAAATCGAATCAAATGACGAATAAATTAAATCAAAATTGAAAATGGAAAATGTTAGAAACAAGTTTAAACTTTTTATTAAAAAGAATTTCAAAAGAATATAACCGTTCGATTTTTAACAAAAGATTCGGTTTGAAAAAAAATATTTTTCTAATTATTTGGTACAGTTTAAAGTTTGAAACTGATATACCTAATCAATAATTTTGGTTTGTCTCGGTTCTAAATAAATTAAAATATTTCAGTTCCGTTTGGATAACCTTTTAATATAATTGGATTCAATTTGTGTCAATTTTTCAACTAAAGTGTATCATGAACCGCTGTAGGGTAATGATTGCAAACAATCTTGGTTTATAAGACAAAAAATAAATTTATATATAATCAATGAACATAACAAGGTATATTAAAATCTGCCAATGAAACTAGTAGTGTTGAATGAGAATATATTAGGTGAAATCATTTTAGGAAACTATATAAACAATGGGAAATGTGATTTGTACTTGAATCTAGAATTGAAACTAATGAAGTCATATACAATGCCGACATTTATAATATATATGTAGTCAGAAGAAGTAATTTATAGACAAGAAAATCAAAATTTTGTGTATCTGTTAGTTACATGAATAGAGTTAGGCTTGCTTTTTATAGCAAAATGCAACTGCCATAATGAAATTGACTAGTGCTGGGTACTTGCCTAGCTTTTAATAATATAGAGCAAATTAAATAGGAAAAAGGGAAGATGGCCATAAGCCTATAATCATGGCACGTCTATTGTTCCTACTAACAATCTTAATCAATCTGCTCCCTAGCCAACTTCTTAAGAGAGCTATTAACTCTCCATCATTAATTATATGTAAGCTTCAATATAAGAGAGATGTTACATGTTCGAAACCATTTAACTGCACTGCCATGTTTTTACTACTACCAACTCAAGTGAATTCAAGAAATATAGTTTAATTTTATTTACCGCCTAAGTAATTTGGTTTTATAAATTGAATTAAAGATTCAATTATCTTGTTAATATAAATGTCCCAATTATTTTGAACACAATTTCACTTCGAAAAATGAAGATATCCAAATCAGGTGTTCAAATGGGCGCTCGCCCATTAAAAAATAGAAAATATCCATTCCATCGTTATTTATTCAATCATATCATTAGAAAAAATATATTACCTAACTTTTAAGGATGCATCTTCAAAAATATTTTTTTTACTTACAATTTAGTGAAATTTTTGAAAAAACATATTAGAAGATACATCTTTGAACATATAATGGGTAAATTCAGATTTTCAAAAATGTGATATCTTCATGTGAAATGAAAATTTCCCCTAAAAAAATAGGTGGAGTGAAACTAACATAGTTTAGGATACCTAAAATCTTGTTCTACTCTATAAGAAATATGAGTGTGGGTGGGTATATTGTCCTTGCAATTCTAATAAAAACATGCAAAAATTCTTGTTATGTCCACGCCGGCATAAAAACAAGATAGGATGAGGCAAATATATCAAACGGTCTGAGACTAAAATTTTGATCTATCATTCCAAAAAATGCAAGTAAAATAGATATGTTTCGCAATTTTTAAATTTAAAATGTGCAATACATGCATGTCCACTCTACCTCGACACTCATTTTTTTTAAGGGGGATAAAATTTTATACTGACACCTTTTAATATGGCAGCACTTCCACTATATTTTTTAAGATTTTTTGTAAATTAGGCTTAAACATGACAAATATGCTTGTTTGTCACCCTTATATAAAAATGGACGGGATGAAGCAGCAATTATATTAGAAGGCACAATACTAAAATATTGATTCACCTTAAAATAAATTCGAACAAAATCACATGATGAACTCATTTTACCATCCCTAATTCCAATTAAATGAACTGTGAGATATGTTATCTGTGTTGAGATCGATGTGATAAGGGTGATGGCCCACATATTGAGGTGTTGTTGTTCATGTAAGTTAGGTTTTTATGTCCTACAGGTGTAATGAATTGTTAGGCCTGCTTGATACAAAATGAAATACCATTACATACACACCTTTTTTTATTAAAAAAAAAGCAAGAGGTTTTTGGCCCAATAAACCAACGATAGAAACTCATACCAACCAAACTCCAATTCTATGATGGATTTTCTCAATTCATTCTCTAAAACGTGGAGGATTTATTGGAAAGATATTCTTTTGGTAGTGTACGTTTTTTTAAAAACACAAAGGATGTTTTAATATATATATATATATATATATATATATATATATATATATATATATATATATATATATATATATATATATATATATATATATATATATATATATATATATATATATATATATATATATATATATATATATATATATATATATATATATATATATATATATATATATATATATATATATATATATATATATATATATATATATATATCAAACTTTACTCCTAAAAAAAACTACTTACTTTTAATTCTTATTTGAATTGCATAGAGACTATTCTCAAGCTTTTAAATTTACTTCACAACAAACTTTGTTTGCATTCAATTCTTATTTAAATTTTATAGAGACTATTTTTAATTTTAAAAGTATCTAATTTTTATTCTTTTAAAATTTTCATTATAAAGTATCTATTTTTTATAGAAAAGTTTTAAAAAATTGACCACTTTTATAAACTCTGATAATATTATGAAGAATTAAAAATTTATAGAGACTAAAGTTAGAAACTCATAATTTTGTAAGAACTAAAATCATATTTAATTATATTTTTAATTTCGACAAGTTTTTATATCGATTACTTCTATTCAAATTGACATTTCTATTTTTTTTTTTAAGTTCCATTGGGGTGGGGTTTTGTCATGAATGAGTTTTTTCTCATTGTCATAGAAATGTAAAGGGATCCATATTAAAACATAATATTATTTAAATTTAATTGTAATAACATTAATAAATCATCAACAACGTAACTTTGGCGAATGTTTGCATATTTTTTCTCTTTTAACAAACAATATTTTGAGTTTGAGAATAATGTAAGATTAGTGAAATACAATTTAAAAATTTTAATTAGTGGAATAGATATTTAAAAAATGTACTTTAATTGTTTAAATAATTGAAAAGATATAAAATAATATAAATATTGAGTAAATCCATTTATACCACTCAATTGAGTGACATGGATCCCTACTCTTAGTGGTTGATTCTTTTTGGGTACTTTATTTTGTTATTTTTTCATTTTTTTAAAGTGTGTTAGCTTGATATTTCTTGTCCTATCTGAATATATATCTCTATCTCTTATATATTTATGTGTATTTAATTCTCTACCTATATTATTTTGCCATTTAAATTATTGTTTTTCATTTTTGATTAAATCCAGTTAGATACAAACAAGACAGGTTTTTTTAATAGACAGACATCAATTAAAAGGAAATATAAAGGATTTCCATCTGGCAAGACCGTTTTTAAAATGGATCCTCAATCAATATTCTTTAGCATTCACGTTGTCAAAGTATCGATAATTGTTTGATCATGATCACCCGATTAAAAAAAAAACTAGTTTTAAATCTTAACCGTGTGATTAGAGAGTATGTGTGACTGCAACACATCAATATCCGATATTATTGTTATAGTTTATTTCTGGAGTCAATTTTGACTTAGTTCTCTATAGTCTAGTGTAAATCTACATCGGATCAAGTACTATTCATTTCAAACACTCCTTGTTGCATTCTTTATATTAATACAATATTTTTTTTCGCTTTTATAGTTCAGTTTGAGGGTCAATTCTAACATCAATGAGAACATATAAACAGAAAGCATTTAAATTAAACTATCATTCAAAAAAACTACAAGAAAGAACTATATTACACATTAGAGTGTGCTTAAGAAAGACCAGAATATGATTCTTACCAAGAATATGCAGTTCCAATTCAATTTTGTAGAACACCAAAGGCCATGCCATGACTCTAACGAAAACAAACTGTAAATTATATAAACAAATACATGCCATGAAAGTTAAACCAATCTTCCCACACAAAACACAAATATAAAACATTATCATGCAGAAATTAATGAAACAGTGCAATGGAGATAGAAACAACATACCAGCAATAGACACAAATTCTCAGAGCAAATGATTAGAAAATCTATGTCATGCTCCAAACAGTGAAATTCTGTACTCTCCCAGTTGTTAAAATAATTTTTACTTGAAACACAGAACAATTTTACAAAATGCAAGTGTAATAGAAGCACTTATTAAATGAGTTATAAGTTAAATATAATAAATAATTAATCGAAAAAACACTGCAAAAAGCACTTACAATAAATAATACTATAATATAATAATAAAATCTTGAGAAAAAGAGTACTATAGGGATATAGAGAGAATGATTACTACTTTAAAATAGAAGAGTCATATCATAATAATAATAATAATAGCCTCGAGAGAGTAAGAATCAGAGAGTTGTTATTTTGTTTCTTTAATATATAAGATAATAAGATATAGTTGTTGAAGTACTGTACGATTCCTGCAATTTTGGTTATTATATACAGAAAAAGTTTGTGATAAACTGATCTGTTAAGTTCTCAAGAAAAAGATATGATTAAAGTGATTGTGTCATTAATTATTTTTTCTCTGAATTTTGTACCTTTGACGGTGGGGGTATACTATGTATACGACAAATTATGCAGAAAATATTAATCTTCTATGTTTCATGATGTATCTTCTTTTTCAATCTTGTTTCCCCCTGCAGGTTACAGCTATATAGCTTTTTGTTTTCTTGTTATATTCTTTGAGAAATTACCTTTCTATGTGTGTCTCTTGTATGGCAAATATAATATGTGAATGGAGAATTGAATATGAAAATATTAATGTTAAACATATAGCTATTACTTGTTAGTGAAGTAACATATTAGTAATAGTTGATTGTTAGTTTTTTTTTTTTCATTTATTTATTGAAATTAGTTAGTTACTATCAATTTTAGTAGGTTAGAGTTAGTTGACAATCTTTTTAGTCATTTTAAAAAGAGGAATTGAAACCATTTGAACTTAAATTTTTGTTACGCTTACACTGAGACATAGTGCAATCTAGTTCTTGAAAACTAAAGGGTGTAGAGAGAGCAAGATTTCTTCTTCTAAAAGAAAATGGATAACAAAATCATTAAGATAGAGTCTAATATCATTCGGCTCTTTAATATATTATCAATAGAATACTTACAAATATCTTGTCTGATTTCAAACACTCATTCAATTTAACCTTCTTCAATTTTAAAAAATAAAATAACATTTCTCTTGCCCCTACTTTTAATGAAATTGGATTGAGTAACTGAGGTGATTTTGTAATTTTAGACTATTTCAAAGGTTAATGAATGATTAAAATAGATTATTTGTTCAGAGATAAAGATTGATTTAGAGAGATATAAAAAGAAAGTTACCAAAATTAAAGAAACTCAAAGTTACCCAAACCCTATTCAGTTTTAACATAGACATAGAAAATTAAAATTACTAGTGTCTTCTTTAGATCATTTAAATCTCACTACTAATATGACATTTGAGAAAAAGTCTTTACATCATATATAAAAAAATATTTGTTAAAAGATTTTATATCACACATTTATTTCTCATGATATGAAAAACATGTGATTTAGAGAAAAATATAACAAGGTGACAGTTTGGTAAATAAAAAGAAAGTTTTTATAAAGGATTTTACATCGAGCCTTTATTTATTCCCGATGTGAAAAGTCCAGTGATAAAAAAATAAAAACATGATGACAGTTTTTGTAAATAAGATGAATTTTTGTTATAAAAAAAAGTTGGACTTTACATCGATTTAAGGCTCAACCATATAACATACTGACCGTTACATCGGGCCCATTGCCCAACTGATGTAAAACATCCTCTTATTTCACAAAACTCTAATTTCCTTATCAAAAGTTTATTTCGTTGACGCGTGCTTCCGAACCTTCATCTCTCTTGACCGGACCGGCTGCGTCTTCGCCTCCGAACCAGTTGCCTCTGTCTCCGCCTCTGAACCTGTTTTGCTCTGTCTCCGCCTCCACCGTCATCGTACTGCCGAGCGGCTCATACAACCTCTGTCTCCCTCCGTCTCCCTACGCCTCCGTCGTCGTCTACTTTCCGTCCTCATACGACCTTCGTCTCCCTCCGTATGTCTCTGTCGTCGTCTGCCTTCGCCTTCCGTCATTATACTCTGGACCGGAGTTCTTATTTCGCAAAACAGCTTCGGAGGCAGTGTAGCTGCTAAGAAATTTCAAATTAAAATCGAGGTAGGGCAGGTGTGGTTTTTTCTTTTGCTCTTTAGATAATAGTGGTTATGGATTTATTTGCATTGTCTGTTAGTTTCCCCCCTATTTTTCTTGTTTAACACAAATAAGAATAGTATTCAATAGTTTTGGGAAACTTATGTCACAGATACAGGTTAATGAGGGTGATAGCCTGCACTATGTACATGTGGCCTTGTTACCTCTATAAAAGATTCTTGAAGGATTTGCAGGAAAAATGGTTGCTGGTAATTTCCTGTTTCCTCTTAAATTTACTTAATTTCCTCTATGGAAGATATCCATTTTACTAAATTATTGTTGCTTGTAATTGAAAAATATTAGTATATACACAGTGCTCTAGAGTTTGCAGAAGATTCCAATGGAAAAATATTGAACATCTTGTATACTAGTCATCTTTGTACCTCTTTTTCATTCCATACAGATTACATAGTTGTGACAAAACTTATTCTAACTCAGCTCATGTGATTTTATTATGATATCCCTGACAAACCTTTTTATTTATATATTAATTTGTGTGGAGCTGAAGCAAGTGTTAATATTCATTGTACTAAAATTTCTTCTTGTAATGTATTATTACATGGTTATTTATTTATCTCAAATAAATTGCCTTTGTTTTTGATTTAGAATGAGAAGAATGAGATTGTGGGATCAGAAACTGATACTTATCCAATAGCTATTGCAAATTTTGTAAGTCAGAAACTGATAATTACAATGATGCATGTTTATTTAATAAATTATAGTTGAATTCATTTGTGTTTTTATCACAGCTACCCTTAAAGCTAATTTATATAGCCTTTGAACCAAAGAGCATTGCACCTGAAGTTTCTTCAGAGAAGACAAAATACAAAGACTAATATTATGGTATGAATTGCTTTCATAATATCAATTTTGTCTTTGTTTGTTATAGTGTTTAGACATTTTTTTGTCTTGTTTGTTTAAGTTTTTGTACATTTCAATCAAGTAAGCTATATTTTTCTTTTTGTAACTGTTTATTGTATTTTCACTATATTTTATTGTATATTTGAACTATTTCATTAAGTCAATATGTATTGTTAAAAATAATTTATTACATTGATCCACATAAGCAACTCATGTAAAATCTTGCATTTATTTTTTTGTTTAATTGAAATTTTTTACATCAGATCTAATATCTAACTGATGTGATAGGTGGATTTTTCATATTGGACTGTTGCCCGATATAAAATGTCTTTGATTTACTACATCACTTAAATTTACATCGGATCCAGACTCGATGTAAAAGATACTTTTCGTGTCTAGACTTTTGAAAAAAAAATATTTTTAAATGTGTGATATTTGGTTGTAACCGACTAATCTAAGAGGATTAATTTCACCGTTCATTTGTGTGAGTCCTATTTAAAAGACAGAGCAAAGTTTCAGTATGGACTTGACATAGCATATGCAATATTAGCATCTATTAGTTTTGAACCTAAGATCATGGGGGAAGTACACTCTGAGAACTCAAATTTGACTCAAATTTTCAACAATAGATCAATAAAGGGGATTATCTTTGAAAGAATTTGCTTTGAGCCCTATGTAATAATTATCTTTATTTGAATTTTATAGTCCAACACAAAAATATGTTCTAAGCACAATATCAATTATTCAAATTCAAATGTGATTAGCTTGTTTTCTTAGTCATAAAAAAATTAGAGTACTTATCATATAAAAATTATTTTTCTTATGTATTAAGAAATTTAACCTATTAGTAAGAAACACCTACGTTCAATTTCATTTTATGTGAATAAAATGGTTTTAGAACTAGGTTAGTTATTTCTCTGTCTCTCTTACCACAATGTGTGAGTTTTATTTACTTATATATACTCTTGATCTAAATTCTATAAACATTACAAAATTGGCTTAGCAAATTATTATGTAAAATTAAGCAAAAAGGGTTATAATTTAAAATTGGCAGCAGTGGTTAGGTAATTTAGGTTTGATTTGCACAGTAACATTTGTCTATAGCCTGATTTTCCTTACATGCTCTAACTGCTCCTCCTATTCAAATCTATAAATCAATGCTTTTTATTTTATTTTTTAACGTATTTTTAACGACTCTTTAATTAAAGTAAATTCAACCATAGCTAGCTATAAAAAAAATCATGTCTCCTTTAACATTAGCATACCCCAAGTTTTACTCGATCCTTTGCCACTTTTTCATTTGATTTAATCCTCTCTCACGAATAGTTTTCAACACCACTTCTATGACTACAATACTCATTGCACTAACTGCACTTATATAAGTTAAATTCTTATTTTAATATAAAAATACTCACATGGTGAGTGTTTATTTTAATTTTCCTCCTATATATCTTGTATCTTTTGCACTTTATAAATGTTTTAAATCAATTACTTATATAAAAATAAAATTTATTAATTCATATTTAATACAATCAAAATTAGGGGTGGCAAACTAGAATCCTCGTTCCGTTAAGGTCCGTCCCGCAAAAACCTTCAAAAAAAAAAAAGGGTGGAGCGGAGAGAACATAGTTGAGGATGAGGTCTAAAATTTAGGTTCATCCTGTAAAAAAGTGAGTGTAGAGTCGGAAAAATCCGCAGACATAACACTTTTTTAAATTTAAATATATAAAATTTTATGTTAATGCCCGTGCCCGCAAAAACTCGCAAAATACTGAACGAAACGGGAGCAGTCACATTAAAGAGTGACGATCTAAATTTTTGACTCGTCCCGCATAAAAATACAGATAAAACGAACATACCTAACGGATCAGGCCGTTTTGTCTCCCCTAATCAAAATTATATAAAAAAAGTAGAATTTTTTTTGGAATAACTAGGTATTAAAAAAAATTCGCAAATAACCATGTTTCAGAGAAAATTACGCATATAACCATGTTTCAGAAAACGCCATAAGGGAGGAGCCAACCCAGTTGGTGCATGAACCTTATTTTAAAGAGGAGGCACCATCTCACTTGGCGCCTATGTGTAAAAGGCTTGCCCTAAGCCAAGTGAGATGGCGCCTTAGTGCAAAAGACATGCAATTTTTCGCGTTTTTTATTTTAAATGCGGTACGTTACGTAAACGATATAGGATCAAGAAAATTGACTTTTTATTTACACAATATGATTACACACATAACGGTTACATAAAAAATACAGATTAATCAGTGGTCCCCCGAAACCCGATAATGACCCCCAGTTCTACATCCCCGTCCTCGCCTTTCCCGTGCCGAGTTTCGTCGCGTTTCCTGTTGTGGCAGGGTCAATGGTCCGACGAAGTCAATGCGTTCCAGATCTATGAAATCCGTCAGATCTCCATATCTAGAAGATCTGCTTTGGTACAGTCGGTTGCCCATACCCTCAAAGTTTGGTTGTGTTGGTGGTGGGTGGGGTTCCATGGTTGGCCTGTAGCACTGGTCGTCTGAGTACGGGGGATAGAAAAGAAATGGATCTTGGGGTGTTTGGTATTGGTAATGTTGGGTGCTTTAGTGATATGGTGGTTGATGGTAAGTTGGGTCGGTTGGTTCATAATATTCGTACAATTTCAATCAGGGCTAAGGTTAGATGTTGAGGGGCCCATATTGGGATATGTAGAAGACTGGAATTGTGTGTGGGGTATGCGGGTGTATTGGTATTGTGATTGAAATTGTGATTGGGTGTGAGGCATATGGGGGTATTGGTACTGAGGTGGTGATTGTGGTTGGTTGTGGGGCATGTGGGTGTAATCGTATTATGGTGGTGATTGTGGTTGGGTGTTTGTGGTTCTGTTTCATCGGGGAGGTTGGTGGTGGGAGGTTGATGTGTGTTGGGTTTGTTGTTGGGGAAATGAGGGTTGTGCCCATTGTGTTCGTGGGTCAACCAAATACCTTGGATGAGACACGTGTATTTCTGGGGTACTAACCGATCTGTACCAAGCTAAATACTAATTTGTGTGTCGCATATTACCATGGTTGAGGAAAACTGGGAATCGCAAGACATGTCGGTGCCGCCTCTGCCACATCTTACACCATTCTGGAGCAAAATCTTTCCAGTTGGTAAGACCCCATTGGGCGTCGACCCTTTTGAGATGCCATGGGGACAAACAAGTTGGATCACAAGGTATCTCTTGATGCATTCCAAACAGCATCTTGACACGGTCGCTGTGGTGCATCTCCACAATATTGAATCGTATGATTGCAGTCTTTGCGCTCCAAATTGCTGCATCCTCGGAGTTTGGTTCATGGTCCAAACCCAAATATGGTTTCCAGACAAACTGTGGATAAAATTAAATCAGCTTAATGAAAACGTAATAAATAAATAATTTAAAAGTAGAAAAGTTGAAAGGTATGACGTACATCATCTGGGCCAAGGTGATCCAATAGATTGCGGTATAGAGCGATATTGAATCTTGGATTCTTGTAGTAATCCATACCCCTCACGCAGTACCTAAAGGAATTGAAAAATATTTTATTTTTATCATATATTTGGTGAAGAGATGAATAGTAATAAATGATATAAGTTGATGACTTACTTTGTTGCGTATGGGAAAATGAATGCGATGTTGTTGACGGGGTTTAGGGACTCCATTCTCCACCAACCCCAAGCTTGAAGTAAAAAAGCGCAACCATAAAATATATATTTTTCCTTGATTGCATTTTTACACAAGGAACTGTATAGATGGGCTAAAACAGCAGAACCTTAACTATACTTTCTAGTTTTTTTCGAAGTCTCTAAGTAAATTTAAATACATAAAATTTACACTATTTCCCGTACTTTCAGGAAATAAAAAGGTTCCAAATAGTATCATTATATAATTTCTAGCTTTTATTACCTTAGCTAGCTCAGAGGAATTTTCGTTCAATTCCAGAGTCGCATAATGATTTTTTAGCTCAGTGAGTAGTATACCCTGACCTCTCGCACCACCACCTTCAACCATATCCCTGCCCAACAATTCTTCATACAAAGAATTGGGTTGTTGAACTGACCCGTTAACTGCCTTACCGTCGACAGGGAGACCCCATAACATGTACACGTCCTCTAGTGTGACAGTACATTCACCTATTGGTAGATAAAATGTATGGGTCTCTGGTCTCCACCTTTCCAACATTGCAAGTACGAACTTTGAATAAATCATGCAGTTGGAGATCTTTATAACGTTTCCGAAACCTGCATATTCGAGATAGGGTATGATCAACGGGTCATGAGCAAGGTAGTTGTGTGACCGGATTCTGAATCTTTTAGTATCCTAAGTTAAAAATGTAAAAAGTGTAAGAGTCGATAAGATGAATAAAGCATTAATAGAAGTATGAAAATATATAAGTATACAAGAAACTTACAAACGCTGCAATATTGTCCCTTGTGCCTCTGTGAGAATCGCCCATTGTGAGAAGAGCCATTGTTGAAATTGTCTGAGATTATGAAAGAGTTTGAAATTATACGAGATTATGAAAGAGTTTGTAGCAGAGAAATGAGTACAAAAATGAAAGGTGTCGCCATTCCTGTTGGCGAATAAGAGGTGGCATGGGTTACAGTGTAGGTGCAGGCTAGGTGACAGCCTTGGAGAAGGCATCTCTGCATGCATCTAACACGATTGGACGTGAAGGGAGGCGCCATTGGACTTGGAGAATGAGTATAAAAATGAAAGGTGTCGTCATCCCTATTGGCGAATAAGAGGTGGCATGGGTTGCAGTGTAGGTGCAGGCTAGATGACAGCCTTGGAGAAGGCATCTCTACATGCATGTAACACGATTGGACGTGAAGGTAGGCGTCATTGGACTTGGCGAATGAGTACAAAAATGAAAGGTGTAGCCATCCTTGTTGGCGAATAAGAGGTGGCATGGGTTTCAGTGTAGGTGCAGGCTAGGTGACAGCCTTGGAGAAGGCATCTCTACATGCATGTA